TCATTTGACATTTTATGAAGGACTCCTTCTTTTTTAGAACATTCTCTTGTCTTGCATATCTGACATTGAGCATTTTTTAGAATTCTGTTTGATCACCTCTGTATACTCATCCTTGAAATATCTGGGACTTTATAGGATCCTGTCAGGCCCCTTCTCTCTCAACACTTTCTAAGGGACATCTCATTAGATTCCTTGGTGTCAAGGATCACCTATATATTGGTAGTTTCAAAATTCATATCTTTGCCCAAGCATGCTCTGGTGGTCTCCTTACCCATGTATTCTGCAACTTCTCAAGTCATTGGTAATGACTGCTGCGTCTGCTACAGGATCTGGGGCAGTCTTTCCTGACAACCAAACTTTTAAAATGTAATTAGATTAACTTTTCTTATCACTTTCTATGTAAATTATTTGCAGTAATTTACACTGAAATATTAAAGAGGAGGAAGGTGTTTTGTTCTAAGCTATGAAATTCAACCAGAGGGTATTTTCTATTGGATGGCTGGCTTACAAAAATCATCCCAAAATGGTTCAAACACAATGTTGCTCTGTAGGTCAAAAACAGACTTTGAAAAGAGTGATTTTTTTCTTACCTTTTCAAAAATCTTCTGGTCCACTAGAAAAAAAAAGTGAAAGCAGTGAAAGAGATTGGGTCACACCTGCTAAACATGTGTTAATCCCTTGACTATTTTGACATTCTATCAGATTCTATGAATCAGGTTCAAAACTCCCTTCTGAGAAAGAGAAACGTGATACCATCCAGATTTCCAAACCTGTGATGTGTTACTGGGTAGAAAAATAATTGAACCCTCTAAAAACGTGTTTCTGATAGTTTTGCATTCACACTAGAAATAACAAGTGTGATAGAACTAAATGTAGAGGATTTGATGCTGTTTCAGTTACAGTTACCATCAATAATCCAATTAACATTGTGAACTAGAAAAGCTGCTAATGGTTAAAATTCACGCAGTAAATACCATATTTTCTCACTGAAAATTATATTTGGGAAGATACTTTTATCTTTGTTATCAAATTTTAGTGCAATAAATAAAATCGGTGAATATATGTTGCCATACCCTCCATAGTTGGTTGTGGTAAAGTTCCATTCCATTCATTTCATCACATATTGTCTGAACATTTTTTTATGCAGGATGTAAAGTCAGGTTCTAAGTGGGGGAGGGGTACAGATCTTTTCTGAAGAATTTATTAACTATAGAGAAAGATGAAAACTTATAACTAGTCATGGTTGAGTAAACAACAGGGCACAAGGGAAATACATGGTACTGTGGGCTTCTGAAGAAGTAGACTCTGTTCCTTTGGTTTCAGAGGTCAGGAGAGGCTGTGTGCAGGTGATGGCATTGAGCTAAAACCTGAATGACAGAGACTAGGGTGTAAGATACTTAAAGTGAAGGGTAGAGGGTGGGCAAAACCACCACCTTGCAATCATTTCCTGGCATCTCCTGCTTTGATTACTTCACTCACCTTGACTGCTTGCAGGGAATCTGAAAACTGAACTTCTTGAAGGAAAGCTCACAAATTAAGACAAAACTAATACCACCCAACTCACAGCATGGCTGGTAAATGGAAATGAATCAATTCATAGGAAATGTCTAGTGTGTAAATAGACAGGTGTGGCTCAGAAAAGGAAAAGGTTCTTTTCTTCTAAATAATGAGAACTATATCTCATCATTTTCAGTTCCCAGGTTTTTAGAATTGCCACAATACATTGTAGGTACTCACTAACACTTGCTGAATGTGTGAAGTAGTATTACTCATATACTTGGAATTCTCTTGGACCAATTTGGCATCTTTTATGTCCAACCAGCCGTTTCCAATTCATACTGTCTCCATATTCTACCAATACTTCTTCTACAATGCACATTGTATCTAAATTTTCCTTTATCTCCCCACCACCACATTATCCTGGGCCATAGTTGCGTTATATGACAATTGTGGTACATAGTCCCATTGGAAACCACCAAGCCCCTATCTTCTCCCTTTCTTTCTTACTCTGTATCCTGCACATCTGCTGGGAAAATCCTCTTCAGAAATTTCTCTGCATCTCACTCTAGGTCAGTGGTTCTCAAAATGTCAAGCATCAACACCACCTGGGAACTTGTTAAAAAATACAAATACTGAGTCAGAAACTCTGGGAGGTCAGGCTCTTCAGGTTATTCTGATACATAGTAAAACTTGAGAACCATTGATTTGCATCTTGTTACCTTATTCTAGGTCCCATCATGACTTTCTCTGCTTATTGACTTATACCTTAATATCAGAGTCTCTACTGAAGGGGCCTGTCCAATGTATTTCAACCTTACTTCATTCTGTTCTATTATCATCGTATAGAATGTCCATACACACTCCTGTTTCAGAGAAGATAATGGTAATCAGTTTACAGTACTTTTATGAGGCACTTCTAGGTTCGATGCAGAGAGGGCATTTGGAGAAAAATGGTAAAAGATGAGGCCATTAAGGCATTCGAAGTCCATATCAGGAAGAATATCATAAACCATGCTAATGGGCTTAAATTTTATCATAAAAACCATGGGAACCATTGAAGAGTTTTAAGCAGGAAAATAATCATGAGTAGATAGAAATTTTTGAAAGAGCATCTTAGCTGTTATGTGAACCATTAAGCAGGAGGATAGAGGGACACAAACTTAAATGGAATATCCTTGAAAGAGCTCCTCTGAAGAATCTGATGACAAGTCACCATGATATTTCAACTGCTATCAATGTCCAGGCAGCAGCCTAGATGTTGAGTTGCAAAGATAGATAAAGCATGATACATGCTCCTGAATTGCTCACAGGCTTCTTGGCAAATCAGCCATGTAAGCCAATCATTACAACGCAGGAGGAGAGTTGTGTTGATAGGGGCCCAGGAGGGAAGGTATCAGCAAACCACAGTGGAGCTTTTTGGAGGAGATTGATTACATTTTACAGTGGAAGTTAATTTTCTTAACTTTTAAGGTGTGCTGAGTTGTAATAAGACTCTGAACAATTTTTATGTCAATTATAATGGCATAAATGCCGTGTTGACCTTTCTGATATTCTACAGTGTTAGGATGTTCATGCATCTCCTTTCGTGAGAAGGGCTTAAGTTAGGATAGACATTGCATTTGTGTGTCCCTCTTGCGTTCCCACATGGTACGGGATACGCAGCAGGAATTAAACTGCATATTGAGTGTGAATGAAGTAGCACATGAATGGCAAACTTGCCTTCTGACTTCTAAATGCCTCATGCTGTCTTTTAATAAATACAGATCAAAATGGGTTTTCACAAGCAGCTTTGTCCTCAAGGTGCTCAAGTTGGAGAGCGTGGTTAGTGGTTCCCATGCAGCATTTAATGGACCATAACTCCAAAGCAGGAGCTATTAGCCTAGGCAGGATGTGGGGTTAATTTTTGTTTGTAAAGAATTGAGGGCTCTAAAGTTAGGGTATTACTGTTCTACGGCGCATAGTACATGCCTGAAGTTTTCCTAACCTATGTTCCTCGTAGACATATAGCTTAATATAGGGGCTCCTGGGTAGATGATTTAGTCTGTAAAGTGATAATAGAACAAGAATAAGCAACTGGGAGTGTGGAACAGCTAGTTCAGGGGTAAGTTCTCAGGTTGGAAACTCCATGATCTTCTGAGGAACCATAAAGACTAGACCTCCAAATTTTCCACATCAAGCGGCATGAGAGGAGAGCATGGGTCCACTAACCCCTACGCCCTACTGGTTAAGAGATTCCCTCAGGCGCTCTGGGCTGTGCATACCGGCGGGCCTGGAAGGTCCTGAAATGGGCCTCGTGACTGTATGTCTGGAGGAAAGTCAGAGATATGTGTAGATCTGAGGCTATCACTGTACACTGAGTAATGTGAGTTATTACAGCACTAGAGTGAATATAAGAAAGAAGGATGTAAGGTAGGGAAAGAGACGTCTTATACAGTGCATCACATGGTGTTTCATTTGACTTTTAAACAAAACCACTCCTCTGTTTTATACTGCTGCCCTGGAGGTTTTCTTCTATTTTATCCCATCATATTTCTCTCACTTCCTCTGTCTTCCTCTCTCTTGTCTCATTTTTATGTTTTTTTTTCCTTCTAAACAGAATCATTATATATCATATAAAATATTGTTTAGAATATTCATCCCATGGCATTTAAAAAATTGGTATACACTGAATTTGTCTTCAGAATATTTAGTTGTATGGAGGTATCAACTTTTCACATCATTTTCCTGGGAGTGAAATAATTACATTTGTGTTTTTTTTTATATGTAGTACAACATTTCTCACTGACTTTTACTCTTCCTAACCATGTGGGAGTCTGCCTGTTTCCTCACAATCTTGGCAACACATGAAAAAAAATTATTTTTCAACATAATAGGTTTGTCCGTGACAACAGATTCAGTGGCAGAACCAAGTAATGTTGGTTAAAACTGATTTTATTTATCTCTCAAGTATAAGAAATTGGAGACAGTCTACATGTTAAGGGTTCCCAGCTCCTAATGGTCCGCTTCATAATTCTAACACGTGGTTTTTCTGCTTGAAGGGAAATTGTGGCACAAAAAAGTCTGCTAGAGTGCTCCAGCCATCATCTTGGCATTGCAGATTGGAAGAAGGAGGAAAAACAGGATTCAGTAAAGAACCTTTTCTTGACTTGACTATTTTAGAAACAATCCCAGAAATTCCATATTAAACTTCCAGTTACATCTCATTGGCCAGCACACCAAATGAGTATACTCGGTTGCAAGTGAGATTAGCGACTGCAGATATTTCTCTTTTCTCAATGGCAATGTGCTCAACTGAAAAGCAGAATCTTATTGGTAGATGGGAAGAGGAGAATAGATTTTGGGGTAGGCAACTAGCAGACCCTGTCACAATAGCAAACAAAGAAACAAGCAAAAAAATTATTACAGTGTGTTACTTGATAGTTTTTTTTATTATTATTAGTGATGGGAAGCATTTTTTTCATGTTTGGTGGACATTTGATGCTCTTTTGTGTATTTCTCAGGCATGTCTTTTGGCCATTTATTTTATTGGAGAGGAATATGCCATATTCTTGTGAAAAGAACCGGACAACAAAAGCAGATTTGAAAGGCAAAAGACTGATGGTGAGCATTTAATTCATTTAAATACAGAGCAAAGACTAAATGTCCTTTGGGAATATGGTAACTGAGAGAAAATATTAGGAACTCTGATAACATAAAAGTAAGTATGCCAAAAACAAAACCTGGAGGTGGATAATACAGGAAGTTGCAAGAAAGGATGTGCAAATTTCCTTATATATTTTTTAAGTAGTCAGCTAATATCATTTGCCTAATTTGGATACACTTAGCAAGGGTAAAACAAAGTTACAGAGTACATCAGTAGAAGAAATAATATGAAGAATATGTTAACAATAACAGAAATAATAAATACAAAAGGCTAGAAGGAATACAGGAGGTGATAAGAGATGTCAAGTTCTTATTTTTTCACTTACCACAAAAGACACTCCATATATGTGTACAAAGATGACTTAGAGAGTTTAATTTACAATAAAAATAAATTTAACCACTTGAGAAATTATAAGGAAACTATAGATCTTCTAAATTATAAGAAGGAAATCACACATAAATACACATACCCCATGTATCCTAAAACATATATATCCACATAGCAAAAAGACAGAAAACATTAAAAAAAGTCAAACACTGTAGAGACCAATTCTTTTAGCTCAATAGAAAAATGACACACATTTTAATCTACTAAAAGCATTAAAGGCTCAAATTGCATTAAAAAGTAATGTCCAATATGTATCACATGCAAGAATCATTAATAAAACAATGTGACTCAAAAAGGTTACATATAAAAAGATGGACAGGTGCCTACAATAACATAGCAGCAAAGATAAGTGAAGGAGGAAGAGAAACTGACATCAGCCTAAGAGTAAAGGAAGTCTTTAAAGCATTTCTTTTAGGTGATACTTCCACATTTTAACTATGGTATTCTAAACTTTTAAAAAGAGAACAACAATAATGGAAAAGTATAGACAAACTTTACTTAGGCATATTAAGGTAAGACTGTAAAGATTACATATAAATATATAGTCCAGTGTATTTTAAAACTAAAATACACCATGCTCCAGAGGGTGAGTGTGCAAGTGTGATTCATTGTTGTGGTAACACAGAAAGGATGTGGTAGATTGTTTCATCAGGATGCTGGTTTCCTTAGTATGAGCATGTCTATATTGACAGAGGATGAACAGCTAAACTTCTACATATGACACATTCCCTTCAGGAGAGAGACAAACATGACTAACAGTTCTGACATTAGCTAACAAGACCCACGGTTATGAAGACAGCAGTCTTTTACCCAGATCTCAGCCTAAATGGTGATTTTCTTATGTCATCAGATGTGGAAGCAGCTCTCTGATGCCATGATCCCTGGCAAGGAGGTGCGATACTAGAGCCAGGGGCAGGTCCAGAGGCTTCCTGATTCTCCTGCTTCCTCATGTGCTAAGGCAGCAGCTGCTTTGGACGGTCGGCTCTGTGCCACTCTTCTGGGAAGATCTGGAGGGCCAACCCAAACCTAGACTGCTGGTTTTGAATAGCTTCTGCTTAAAATCATGATGTTGGTTTCTATTATCTACAGCTGTACTCTGATTAGTGAAGACAGTAATAAATATAATTCACCATATTAATGTGCCATGAAAGAAAAGAACATAGTATTGTCTACATTAATGCTATAAAAGCATTTTCTTAAAAATGTCATTGTGTGAGCAATAATCAGGTAGAGAAAATAAAAATACAAATTATGCACTTAGCAGTCAAGTATATAAATAATGCTTTTGTATACACTTAACAAAAATGATTTGTATGAAGAAAATTTTAAAATTCTTCTGAAGTAAACACATACACTTATACACATACACATTTATACCCACAAGAATTAATTAAAATTGTACTTGCAGAAGACATCATTATTTATTAATTTTATTACTTAAAAATTCTCCTGAACTTTCTAATTGTCTGTAGTAGTATATTTTAAAGTTGAATTTCTACCATGCTTCTTATACAAAATAACTTCTGGTTTAACATATTTTAACCTAAAAAATAAACCACAAAAAGGCTAAAATTAAGCATGACTTAATCAACATATTATCTTTAAGTAGACAAAGTATTCTATGTGGGATTCAGAATACATAAGGTGTACATTAAATAAGAGTAAAAGTAACCATAAAATCTTCTAACTTTGTATGTTAAAAAATTACAAAAAATCAAAACATAAATCAGAATCTGGGGAATAAATATTTGCAACATTTATTTTACTAAGACTCTATAAAAATACTACAGAAGTCTACCACAATTAATAAATGAGAAAGTATCTTAAATGCTTTTCAACTAAATAAATTTAAAAACAATAAACTATGCTAAAACAGACTCCTGATTAAAGACACTTAAATGAAAGTAAAAATGAGATAAACTTTTTCATCTGTTCAACTGTCAAGATTTTTGACTTTGATAATATTGATACTGGAAAGATGTGGAATTATTACTTCTCCAGAGGAAATTAAAAAGCTTAGTGCTTGGATTCAGCAATTCCAATTTCTCGATTTGTACCTGGAAAAATTGTCCAAGTTACTGGAACTAGAATGTTTACCTCATCTTTGTTTATGGTATTGCTACAAAACAAGAGAAAAAAAGGACTGGTCAGGTAAAATATATTTTAAAATCTAAATAAATATTACAATAGACTATTCTACAATCATTAAAATACATGAAGAGGATATATAAATATATGCTGTATGGAAAGAACTCTAGCTTATTTTACTAAGTGCAATAAGCAAAGATGTACTTTATTATCTGTTGCATAAATATAAACAAGTATACATAGGTACATCAGAAAAATTAGTCTGGAAGGAATTACATAGGCCTGTTACCTTGGTGACTTTGGACCAGGGGTCTTGGAATGGGGAGAATGGCACTTAGCTTCAATACTTTTATTTTTCTATATTTATTTTCCAAACATGAGCATGACATGTTTTCAGTAGAAAATGTATTATTTTAAATATGAGATGATAGGCATTTTTGCCTTTTAAACACTTTATACATAGTTTCAAGTGTCTAATTAGTGGGTACAGAGAGTCAGAAGTATCTAACCTTTCTTGAGAATTTACTACTATGAAACAGTTTTCCATGAATTCTCTCCTTAACCTCCACCAGTGTTATGAATCATGTGAGACTGATGCTGCCACCCCATGTGTGAAGCTTCAGAGACTCAGGAATGTCAACAGGACTTGGCTGATGTCACACACAAGGTAGGAAATGGATTTCAACACACAGATTCTCTTGCCATGTTGTGCATCATCCACATGTTTCACTTCCTATTAACCATAATGAAAGTATGTTTCCTTCAAACAATGTGTTTCTAATGTTAAAAGGTATTTTAATTTCAAGTATGAATTAATGTTTAATTTTTGCCTGTGAATAGAAATGGAAGATAATATGCCAAGGTGACACTGCCTCAGTGAAAAATGACAATCTATTATTATAGCATGTGTAGGTGTGATACCTTCTCGTTAACAACTGGCTATGCATAAGTACCAGATGAACTTGACATCTGATACTGATACGACTGGAGAGAAAAGACCTTGTATTGGTCTTAAAGAACACTATTATAGCTTCCTTAAAGTTTGAAGAGCCTTAATTTCCAAAAATGGGAATACAAACTTGGTCCCAGTCAGAATGCAACAGTCAACAGCCCTCTGATTTTATATTCTGTTCCTCTTCCCTCTGCAAGACCCTTCCCTACCTCTTTATTTGTTACACTGTGTCTCTTTTTCCATCGATGCTTTCCACTTGTACAGCCTCGGAGTCTTTCCAAGGGGCAGTGGCCCAACACAGGGTGATTTGCAACTCCTGTCTGTGGGATTAAAGTCATGCTTTAATTTGAACATGTATCTGAATTCTGTCATAGGGATCATTTGTATTTTGAAACATTCATTCATCCCTATCAGAAGAACTTCAGGGAAAGGGTGATGGGCTCTTACTGGGAACTGGAGCAAAGACATCTGAGGGGACTGAGCGCTTGAGACTCTAAATGCTGCCTTTGTCTCATGAGCAAGTGTTTCCGTTTCAGTCATCTTGTAGCCCCAGCACGATGCTGGAGGATTCAGCTGGGCTTGATTGAAAGACTATGAAGGGGGTGGGGACTGAAAATTTCTTGCCTTTCCTGTCTCAGTTCTCCTTAGTCCCATGCTTATCTTCTCATTACCACAGTGTCACCTCAAATACCACCTTTTCCAAGAGACTCTTGCCTCACTTGGCAAAAGCACAAAGAGGAACAAGGAACCAGTCTCCCTAAATGCCATTTCAGTGACCTTTCTAACACAAAGCTACTCCTATACTGTTTTTCAAATTGAAGTATAGTTGATTTATAATGGTGTGTTAATATCTGGTATACAGCATAGTGATTCAGTTATACATATATATAATTTATATTTATATACCTTTTCACATTCTTTTTCATTATATGCTATTACCAGGCATTGAATATAGTTCCCTGTTGGGAACTTATTGTTTATATATAGTAGTTAGTATCTGCAAATCCCGATTTATCCCTCCACCCCACTGCCTTTTCCTCCTAGTAACTATAAATTTGTATTCTATATCTGGGAGTCTGTTTCTGTTTTGTGAAGTTCATTTGTGTCATTTTTAAGGATTGCATATATAAGTGGTATCATATGGTATTTTTCTTTCTGGCTTACTTCACTGAGATTCCCATCAGTTTCTCCCTTTATGGTTGTTAGTATTTGTTTTATGTATTTAGGTGCTCCTATGTTGGGTGCGTATATGTTAACAAGGGTAATATCCTCTTCTTATATTGATATATATATATAATATAGTGTCCTTCTTTATGGCCTTTGTTTTAAAGTCTATTTTGTCTGATACGAGTATTGCTACTCTCACTTTCTTGTCATTTCCATTTGCATGAAGTATCTTTTTCCGTCCTCTCATTTTTAATCTATGTGTATCCTTTCACCCACCCTAAAGTAGGTCCCTTGTAGGTGGCATATTATAGGCTCTTGTTTTATTATCTAATCTGCCGCTCTAGGTCTTTTGATTGGAGTGTTAGTCCACTGACATTTATGGTAATTATTGATAAATGTGTGTTTATTGCGTTATTTTAAACCTTGTTTTCCAGTTGATTTTGTATTCTTTGCTCCTTTCTTCTTTTTATTTTTCCTTTTGTGGTTTACTCTCTTGCTCAAAAGTCCCCAATGCCTCCTGCAGCACCTCGTGTATCTGGGCTTGAATCCTCAACGTGACAGTCAAAATGCTCTCAAGTTGGGCACCTTTCTGTCCTTTCAGTGCCCTGTCCCTCTGTATCCTGCCCCCACCCTCAGCCCTCAGACACGGTGCTGGAGCCCCTAACACCTAAGTGCATGAAAATGCCTGCTCCACTCATACCTCACACATCCCTTAGAGCACCTTCCTTTTTCAGTCCTTAAATTAATTACATTAAAGTGATTTTTAAAATTTATATTATGAGTCATCAGCCACCACTTAATGGTGATACATAATCTCTCCCCCTGGGATGCTCTGGTCCAATTTCCCTGTGGTGGCTCACAACACAGGTATCACTAGACCGTGTCCTGTGGTAACCTGCATAAACATCCTTTCTTCTCTAATATACTGCAAGTTCCTACTTAATTTATGTTCGAATCCCCCTTGCTGAGGGCCTTGCATATGGCTAAAGAAAATATTTGTTCACCTGAAGTGACTGAAGAAATATTGGAGCTCTTTATGTGTACTGAGGACTTCTGCATACAGAAGGCATTCATGTAGGACCCAGACTTACTGAGATTTTTCTTAGTTTCAAAAATTATGTCTCATTGGCATATCACATATCTTGACTTCTGAATTAAAAATATAGTGACTTCAATATTTTACATTTCTCATCATGTAAAACATAATGCTCAATGTGAGAATATCATTTCTCCCCTGAATACGTTACAGAATTTTATTGATTTTTTTTCTGAAGTTGTTCTTGATATGTAGTTGCTCCAACTCACATGAATGTCAACACACAAAGGCATAAAAACAGAATTTTGATGTCAGCGCTGTAGATCTGTGGCAAAGGCTGAAATCAATCTGACCTCTCCCTTGACTCTCTCATAGCTCCTTTGCTGCCATCACTTCTCCACAGCAGAGCTGTAGTCCTCTCTCTAACGCCTGCCTCCTGTGCCTGGGGACCCACCTTTCCAGCCCCTGGCATAGCATCCTCAGAACCAGGAAGAGGAAGAAAGTCACGATGACTAGGGTTAATAATAATGGCTTCACTTAAAGGTTTTCCATTCAAACATCTGAGCATCCCACAGAACCCAAGATGTGGTGGAGAGAATCTTTCTTCTCACAGATGTCAAAACTATGAACTTAATGAGGTTGAACACTTCCCATAAACCCATTCCTTAGCACCAGCTATCTTCTGCTAAATAGGGAAGGAGGTGTGTTTTAGTGTCCATCTTCTCCTCTCCCACATCTCCTTCCCTCCGTCCTCCCTGTCAGCGTTCCTGCTGTTCCTCTGATCCCCATCAGCAAGCTCTTTACTTACAGGACTGCAGCACTGAAGCAGCACGCTTTTTAAACTGGAATCTAGGACTCAATACAGAGGAAGGGATCCAGCTAACTCTGCAGAGAGAATTTAATTAGGTGGACAGGATTTGAGAAGCTGGGGTTTTTCTAGGCCACCTGGCTCACACTTCTGTATAATGGAAGTTGTCACTGGCCCTTTGCTGGCAGCTGAGGCACCAGGATGTGGGTGTCACTTCTCATCTGAATTAAATGCTGCCTCCAGCATGACATTTCAGGCAAACAGGAACTGCTGGGGTACTTGGGCACCAGGGTCTTCACCGAAGGTCCCTTTCCACTCAGAGGCACTGTAATGTGACAGAGGGAGAGAGCTGTCAGCTCAGGATAAGGAAGAACTTCCTAAAACTCAGAACTAGCTGTTACTAGACAGACTGTTCTGTTGAGTAGTGGGCAAATGGCAAGTAGGTGACACTCCTGGGAAAATTCAGCAGAGAGGTGGCTTGCTGGAGAGATGGAAGGAGGGGCTGTTTCAGGGTCATAGGACTTGCTGAGTTACAGCTTTCAGCCTCAGTCTCTCACCCGTAAAATGGTGGCTATTATATTAATTCATTGATGTATTCAGGAAGTATTTATTGGAAATCCACTGTATGCCAAGCATTTCGCTAGGGATGGGAGCAGAATGATGAACAAAAGAGGCGAAGTCCTTATCCTCCTGGAGCTCGCATAGTAATGAGGAAAGGTAGAAAGCAAGCCAAGTAATAAGTGGCTGCCGTGTGGTACTAGTGGTATGAGGATAGAGAATGATAGTGCAAATGCTGCCAGACCTGCAGAATTAAATACAATTTAGTCATATTAACGAAAATTAAATGAGGTGATAGTGACTAATATTTATTTAAGCATTTCTGGGTTCCTGGCACTATGCAAAGCACTGTGCCTTCTGTAAACCACCTATTAATAAGCACCAGTATTGTCACTTTATAGACACTGCAGCTGAGACTTTGGGTAGCTGTGTTAATTGTCAAGTAAATCTGGCTAGTCAGAGGCGAGGCTGGCAATGGAATTCAGGTGTGAGCTTCTGGCTCATAGGAAGTACTCAATCAATTACATGGCTGTTGATGACATTTGTTAATATTACTATGCTATTGAGCTGTTATGAAGGTTACGTGAAGTTAAAATTTCGTGTTTACCAAGTACCGCCTGTGGGGCAAAGCTAGAGGCTGTGACATGTGCAAGGAAGCACAGGACACTGTCTTTGCTTTGTTCTAGCTTCCCGTCTAGTTTATGGGGCTCTGTCTCAGGAAAAAATAGCTTAAAGCAGCATGTGACTCTGGTATATGATAGTTCTAGGCAGCAGAAGTCATTGTTACTATTGGCAGTAGGGGAGGAAAAGGAGGAAGGTAGCAGTGAGATTTCTTGCGGTCAAGAAATACATCTGGGTTTAAGTGAGGTCTTGAGAATGATAAATATGCAAAGGGCTGTGGGAATTAGAGAGTAAAACAGATGGGATGGCTTGTTGGCAAAAATTAGTGAAGCTTTAGCAAAAAACAAAACTGGAAACAACCCAAATGTCCATCAGTAGGACAATGATAAACAAATGATAGCATATTTGCCCAATAGGATACTATTCAGTGATAAAAAAGGAATGAACACATGCAACAACATTGATGAATCTCAAATGCATTATGATGAATGAAAAAAGCAAGACGCCAAAGGGTATGTAGTGTAT